CCCCAAGCAACTGGCAACCTCGGGTTAGGGGCTTTCCACTGGAAAGGGGAAGGTGGAACAAGGTGGTAAGTCAGATGGCACTTCTACTGGATGTGATGAAAAGCCGTGAGACAGGATGCTCACAACATGGGCAGGGACCATACAGATGTGGTCTGAGGCTCCATTTAATGCGGATACTGAGGTTCAAAGGGGACAGGAGGAGCCAAGGGCCTGCTGGGACACCCAGCAGACAGAGGAGGCATCCCATTTCCAGGCCTACCCTTCTGCCTGGGCCCATCAGCCCACGCCCTCCCCACATCCTAATCCCAGTCATAGCCAGAGCTGCTCACTGTGCCTTGCCAGGCTCCAAGCTCCTCTCTGAGCCTTCCAGGAACCCCATTCTGGATTCTGAGGCATGTCCTGGGCAGTCTGCCTGAAGGAGGCTTTCGATAGGTCCTGCTAGCTGTGATAGACCCAGAATCTGAGGTCCTGAGCACCTCAGATTTGAGGCAGAGCCTGGGGATGTGGCTCAATTGGAGCACTTGCCTAGCACGTGGGAAGCCCTGGGTTCCATCCCCAACATGGGATGGGAGATGGGAGATGGAGGATGGGGGATGGGAGAGGGGAGTTGTCGAGCAACAATGCCTTAACAGTGTCCTTAAAACTCCCCCTGCATAGGGGAGTTCTACATGGTCACTGAGGGGTAAGCGCCATGGATGATAGGAAAGACCCTCTGTGAGCTGAGGTTCTCTTGATGTCAGTGATAAGGCCTCCCAGGCCCTCAGTCTCCTGACCCACAAGGTGGGCAGACAGGGAAAGTTAGCTGGTTGACCCTGAGGCCAAGAGCCCACACTCACAGCCAATGGGCCACTCTTCCAGACACCTGCCACCCTTTCCCGTGTGCCTGTCCTTGGCATAAACCACCTGGGATTGTTCATTAATCTCCTCCTGATACACATCTTCCCTCCCTCCTTCCGTGGGACTGTGAGCCACCTGAAAACAGGGAGTCCTTTATTTATTGCTGCCCTCTACTCCTGGCACCATGTCTGGCACACAGAAAGTGCTCAATAAACATTTGTGGTATGGCCAGTGGCAAATGGCCACAGCCCCAGCCACTCTGAATGGTAAGGATTCACCCTTCAGGAGGATTGCTTGAGCCCAGGATTTCAAGCATGGTAAGACTCCCATTTAAAAAAAAAAAAAGTTCCTGTCATTGAACAGGCTCAGAGTAAGTTCAAAGCTGCTTGGGGAGAGTTTCACTCACCAAACTGGTGGCCCCAGGGGTGGTCAGCCAGCACAGAAGAGGTCAGTGGCTCCTGTACACAGGCCAGCCGCGCACAATGGGCTGGCACCTATGCACTCTGATGTGCAATGTATCCACAATGGTCTGTTGCTTGAACAGACCAAGTGGCAAAACCAAGAACAGTGTGATGTATTTTTGTTAAAAACAAAACCAAACCACTGCTGGCTCACTGAGCAAATCCTAAACAAACCCTGGGTCACTGAGGAAATTCAAAGTGAAAAGAAAACTGATCTGGAAAATGATAAAAACTGGCTCACGTCCATAAGGACACCTGAGGGACACGACTAAAGCTGTATATGGAGAGCAGTGTGTAGCCTTAAGGGCCTTTATTTATGTTTATGTTGCAGTGCTGGAGATGGAACCTAGGGCCACACACACACACACACACACACACTACCGCTGAGCCACACCCCAACTCCAGGTCCTACAGATTTTTTTAATGAGCTGAAAGGACCACTTTTTAGTTTATTCACTTTTGTACTGGATTGCAGTATGCTATTTTCACAACGTAAAAGGAGTCTTTTGGCAGTTTCTCATAAAGCTAGCACATCTTATGCTTATGCTTCAGCAGTTCTGGTCCTATATGAATGAAACGGTCTACAAGGACCTGTCCATGAATGTCCACAGAAGTTTAATGCATAACACCCACCCTGGAAACAACCAAACTGCCCATCAACAGAACAGAGTAACTGTGCTAGAGAAACCTCTACCCTGTCCCAGGGGATGCGTTCCCAGACCCCCAGTGGGTACCTGAAGCCACAGACAACACTGAACCCTATAAATACTATGCTTTTTTCTATCCACACATACCTATGATGAAGTTTAATTTATAAATTAGTCACCATAAGAGGTTAACAACAATAACTAGTAACAAAATAAAACAATTGTAACAAGTAAGACTTACGAATTGCTTATTTCAGAATCCCCCATGTAGTATTTCCAGGCTACACTAATCGAGGGTAACTGAGATGTTGGAAAGTGTAACCACGGATAAGGGAGGGTCACTACATCTGCACAATGGAATGCCACTCAGCAACAAAAGGAATTGACCACTGATACACTCAGCAGCATGGATGGCGCTCACAGACTTCAGGCCAAAAGCAAAGGAAGGCTAGGATGCATCTCAAGTACAAGGCCCTAAATTCAAACCCCAGTACTGCCAAAAAATAATAAAATAAAATGTTTTTTAAGAGCTAGTGGAGTGGTGCAATTAGTACAACGCCTGCCTAGCAAGCGTGAGGCCCTGAGTTCAAACTCTAGTGCCCCCAAAAAAAAAAAAGTTTTTTAAAAAGACACATTCAAACCCCAGTACTCAGACCCCAGTATCAAAAAAAGAAAAACCCCACAAAGGAGTACACAGTATACGAATCTGGAAGGGTTTTGTTTTGCTTTTGAGACAGTCGTCTTACCATGTAGCCCAGCCTCCCGCCTCGGGTGCTGGGATTACATGCACACGATAAACCAGCACACAGCCATTTACATGAGGTGATTCTGTACTCGGCCAAACTAATTTATGGTGTCAGAAATCAGAAACTGGTTATCTTAAAGGTGGGGAGGCCTGGAGGTGTGGCTCAGTAGTAAAGAACTTGCCTAGCAAGTGCAAGACCCTGAGTTCAAAGTTCAAACCCCAGTACTGAGGAAAAAAAAAAAGCAAAGGCGTTTTATATGTGTATGTGTATTGATCTAAGGTTGTGTTACACTGGTGTATAAACGTGTCAATCCTCACTGTACTGCACAGACCTCTGCAGTGTAATACATGTACACCTCAATTTTATTTTAATTCTTTTTCTTGCAATGGGGATCAGAGTTAAACCCCTAGATTCTTAAAATACATTTTTAAAAGTCACACAAAACCAAGTGAGGGGGTAAGTAACTGTGTCCCAGCTACTGAAGATCAGTATAGCTCATGAGTTCGAGACCAGCCTGGACATGGAGACCCTGCCCCCTGCCAAAACCCAAACAAACAAAAATCCAGAGTGAAAACTTATAAAACACAGATTCCGAGGCTCCACCTCATTGAGATTCTGATTCAGGGTGTCCAGGCTAAGCCTGGCAATCTCAGTGTGTTAATTAAAAAGGGGTCTCTGAGAATTTGCCTTTTAGTTGCTTTTTTTTTTGCATTGTTGTTTTGTTTGATTTATTTGGAGATGGACTCTCGCTGTGTTGCCCAGGCTGGTCTCAAATTTTGGGGTTCAAGCAGGAGTTTGCAAGTTACCATTCTCAGGCAATCCTCCTGCCTCAGTGTCCCAAGTAGCTGAGACTGATCCACCACCTCACACCGGTCCTGGGTAATTCTACCCCACCCCTTTTATTGGGGTGGTTTGACTTTTAGAAACAGAAAACACATTCCTATCTGTCTGCCTTCCCCCACACCCCTAAGGCATCAGCCTCAGCTCAGGTTTCCAAATGAAGCCTCCAACCAGGCACAGCAGGAAGGAAAACCCCCGCCAGCTCCGTCCATAGCTCACCCTGAAGACGCCAGGGCTGCTTGCTCCAGGGAGGTGGAAGCCAGCGTTAATGGCCTGTGTACCTGTTAAACAGCATGTCAGGCTTTGCCCCATGTTTACAGAGAGAGCACAGGGCCAGACTCACTGGCACAGAAAACATATTGTGCCGGACCCAGAGCAACCCAGTCACCCTTGTGTCCTGGACGCCAGCCTAGTTCCTCGCTCATCACCAGGAGTCTCCCAGGCTCCTGGCTTAACCAGCCTTCCTGTTGTCCCTAAACCCTGTCGGATCCTATTTCTATCCCTGCTGCCCTTCCAGTAAAGTCCCCTTGCACCGTGCTCAAGGCCCTCACCATCTGGCTCCTGCCAAATCCAACCCTGGCTCCTGGTCCTCTCACCAGTTGGGACTCTAGAGACATGTTATACAAACATGCTTGGCTATTTCATGCCACTGTGCCTTTGCACCTGCTATACCCCCGCCCAGAACACCAGCCTATCCTCTTTCTCCAACTGTAGAAGACAGCAACTCCAACATCACCTCCTCTAAGAAGGTGGAGCATCTTCTGCGTGCTACCCTACCCCACCATCTGTGCCTGCCTGGGTCACTCAAGCATTCCTCAGGGCACCCATGGGTGGCAGTGGTCCTTCAGAGGCCACCCCTCTCTCCCTGTGGATTATGAGTTCCTCAGAAGCCCATGTTCTGCCCTGAATTCAATACCCACCCAGATCTAACCTAAGCTCGGTTTATTAACTAGCTAAGTGAGGCACATTAGAAACAACCCCCAATTCTCACTTAAGAGCTACCATGCACGGCCCCTCCCCCCCAGCCCATTAATTCAAACATCTGTGTCGGCCAGGGCAAACACCAAAAAGCAAAATGCATCCCCCAAAAATCTGACTCTTGCTCATGACTGCTGAAGAACTGGAGGATCAGCCTGTGCTGCCAGGTTGGCCCTGGGTTCCAGACCCTCTCTGGCAGTGGCTGAACAGCATTCCGGGGCGACCCTGTAATCTTAATCTATGTCTCAGCTCTTTCCTGTATATAGGAATGTGCTCAGTGACCCACAATGTCTTATCATTCGGGACCTTTGGAAACTCAGAGAACCACAGCTCCTGAGTCCCTCGACAGACTGACAGATGATAAGTTGGGGTGAGAAGACAGGATCCAAAATGCCTCTTGGGTGGGCTGATACCTGCTGCGGGGCTCCCCAAGAAGAGAGAAGGGATAACAAAGTACCAATGGGTCCCCTTAGCTCACCCTCCAGCCCTACCTTTGTTCCTCATTTTCTCCAGATCCTGGTCCAACTTCAATTCCCGAGGAAATCATGACCAAAGCTCCATGGAGCCAAAACTCACTGCTGATCGAAGGCAGGCTTTTTGAAGCCCAGTTCTGCCAATGTCCAATCAAGGCAGTCCTCTAGATGGCTCTCAATTGGCCCATCCGTGAAATGGGCGTTGTCCCCCAGGGCCTCTGACTCTGCCAAGCAGATATGACCCAATCACCACAGGATGCCGAGGTGGGGCATGAGGTGGAGGAGGGAAACTGTGGCTGTGCCACGGGCAGTACCCCAAAGGACAAAGACTCCGAACTGTGCTGTGGTCCTTGCCACATACCACAGTAACCTGGGACCTCGTGACACCTTCTAATCGGCAGCTCTAGAGCCCAGCCCAGCTTTACAGCTTACTGCAAGCTTATTCAGCCTCATCTCCCTCAATCCCCTCAAGGTCGAGGCTTTGGTGTCCCTGCTACCTGGACAGCCAAGGCCAGGCTCAAAGAGAACCACTCAAGGTCACTATTAGGACAGAACACACTCAGCTCCCTGGGGACAAGTTCCTGGCTCGAGGGACCTTGGTTTACTGGCCTAATGGGCAGTATTGTGCCACCCATTTTACAGATGAGGAAACTGAGGCCAAGAAACATTGCCAGAGGTTAACTGGAAGCTGAGCCAGGTATCAGACACCCTCTGACCATTGTGCTAATCCCACCCTATTGTGGATTCTAAGCAGATGCCATGAAGCTCCTTTCTAGCCCCCCAACACCATCTCGATGAAACACATTCCCCCCACCTCCTCAGACCCACCCCACACTTCTCAGATGAATCTCTACTCAAGAGGGAGGCAGGCGGTTGCTAAGTGCTTACCCGCTCTCTCATAAAAATAAACTCCTTCTGGCTAGAAGACTCTGGACCAGATCCCCCTCCCTTTCAGCCACCAAAAAAATTTTTGTTTAATTTAAAAAAGATCTCTTCCTTGACATTTATTTGAACATCAGCTGTGCCAAATCAGGGGCCAATTTACTGAACTCCAAATGGAGCCACGCGCCACTAAACCGCAGCCTGAAGACCCTGCGTTCAAGCGGCTGGGTAGTTATTGAGCTGATTTATTTCCCTAGGCAGGAAATGGGGGCCCAGGCTGCCTCCCAAGCCTTTGGGGCTGGTCCTTGGGGAGGCTGGCATCTGGCAGAGGCCCGGCAGTGACCAAAATAGCCAGGTTGGTGGCCCTGCCCAGCACACACCTCCCTCCGAGCACCCAGGAGGGCTGTCCAGAGGGTCCCTTACAGTCCAGGCTGGTGTAGGCTGAAGCTTTGGGGGTGCAGGAAGTGGGCCCAGAGATTCCCTCTGTGGCTTCCCTGGTGGGAGGGGTAGAAGAGCCTCTGGCCCAAAAGAGGAAGCCACAGAAGCAAGCGGAGAAGGCTCAAGGAAGATGTGTGCTCATGGCCCTGCCCACTGCCCATTGCCCCTTGGCTGTCCCTCTGAGCCTCCCCCGTCCCTCCACTCAGACATGCAGGGTGCTGGCACTGCCACCTACCAGCGGTACACGGGCAGCACCTGGAGCCACACCACCTTATCACCTCTCCCCATGCACTGCCTGCCCTGGAGAACTAGTTCTGGCCATTCCACCCACTGGACACCGGGAACACCCTCTCAGGTACAACCCGGGACACATGAGTGCCAAGAACCAGAGAGCGGGAGACACGCTCAGGGCCACACACGTGCACACGCACAATCTGGGTCTTGGAGACACGCCATACACACAGGTTCACACCGACGAGATACAGACACACAAGAGCACACAGGGGAAGACACGGCGACACGGCCACACCACAGTCAGGTATGGCAAACACATGCACACACAGCCCAGGGCACAGAGAAAGCACACCAGGACGCACATGTGCACGCCTCCGAGGATATGCAGAAATGCCACCCTCAGAAACAGACATACAGGGACAAGAAGACGCAGACGGTCACCGGTGAGGGAGAGGCTGTGACACACACACACACCTGCCGCAGCACCAGAAGCCCGAGCCCCTTCGCCGGGGAAACAATAACACCCTGGCCAGCGGGATGAGCAGGAGACCTCCGTCCTCCCGCCTCGGCGGCGAAAAGGACGCCGGAATGGGGGCACTGGGCGGGGAGGGAGGTGGCTCGAGCGCAGGAGCGGTCAGGGGCTGCAGACGCCCGCTCCGCGCCCTGTCCCCCGGGTACCTGGGGTGGCCGCTGCGCTGCGCCCGCTCGGCTGCGCTCGGTTCCGCTGGCCGGGCGCTGCCCGCCCGCTCGGTGTCCGGCCCGCGGGCTCCGCGCTCCGCACTGGCTCTCGGCGCGGCTCGGGCTCGGGCTCGGGCTCGGGCTCGGGGCTGGCGGCGCCCGCGGTCCTCGCGGCTCGGCACGGGCGGCGGAGCGCGGCTATGGTCAGGGCCCGGAGCTCGGCGCTGGCGGCGGCGCGGAGGAAGCGGTAATTTATAAGCGGCTTCTTCCTGACCTCGCGTGTCTGTTGTCTGAACAGGCAGCTCTCAGCATCACCCATCCTGCTGGGTGGAAAAATACCAGCTTGGCCGGGCCGGGGGCGGGGCCTGAGCGCCCAGCCCCGCCCCACGCGCGGACACACACAGACACAGACACACGCACGCGTATGCACGCACGCGCGCACGGGCTCGGACACACAAAGAGCCCGGGCTCGCCTAGCCGAGCGCGCGCGCACACACCCTCCTGTGGCGCGGCGAGCGTTCGCTGCAAACGCCACCGCCAAGTGGTACAGCCCGTCTTTGGGCCCCTCCTGCCTCTGATGTAGAGCATGAGAGACGTGTGACTCGTCCCCTCCCCTAGCAACTGCCACCAAACCCCACCAACTCACCCACACAACCTGGCTCTTGGGATGAGGTGGGCCCTGGAGCTGCTGGAGTACCCAGGTCCAAACCAGGCTCTGCTCCTACGTCCAGGCTCTGCGTCCTCTTGGGCCCTCCTACAGCTTCTCTGAGCCTGGGTTCCATACTCTGTAAACTGAGCACAATGATCAAGCCCTATCCAGCAGCACCGGGGTGACCTGAGGCTCCGCTGGGAAGCCGGGTAGAGCTGCAGAGCCCCGGCTTTGCCGTGGCTGTTGGACCTTGGACACCTTACTCAGACTTTCTGTGCCTTGGTTTCCTCATCTGTAAAACAGAAACAAAAATAGTGGAACTTATTTTCTCTGGCTGCTAGGAGGCTCCAAGGTTCACAGTGTAAAGAATCTGGAACAGCACCAGGCACCTAAGAAGTGCCAAACGAGTGTCAGCAAATGTGACTATTTTTAAATGGAGGTGGGGAGTGTGCCATTATTCTTGCCCTTATGAGCAGGTCCTCAGAGACCATTTTCCACATCCACAGTCTGGCTGAGGCTAAGGAAGGGCCGTGTGACCTCCAGCCCTTCCTCAGCCCAGTTTTCTCTAATGTCAATGAATCTCTCTCTTTCCCCATCCCTCCCTCCCTCCCTCTCTCTATCAACCCTCTTTGACCCCACCCCCACCCCACTGCACCTGGGAAGTTGTTGTGGACAGCACAGCAGGTGAATCCTTACACCTCTTAAACCAAGAATAAAAGAATACCAAAGGGCTCACAGAGAGCCATCCCTGCCTCAGGCCTGGCCCAGCCTGCATCCACTGGGTCAAGAGCTCAATACCAGCCTCTTCTGGAGCTGCCAGAAGATTCCAAAAGCAGAATTCCAGAGGTGATGCTTCCTTTCACCCTACAGTCATCACCAAGGCCCTCTGCTGTTGGTCTCCAACAGAACCTTCCACCAGATTCTCCCAAAAACACCGCCAGCCAAGCCACACACTAAGCCCTTCCCTACCCTTCCCTGTGGGCCCTAGGTGCGTACACAGGACTCAGTGTCCCAGGGTAATACCATCCATTTTATAGGTGAGGAAACTGAGGCTGGAGGAGAAAGGGGACTGAGTCCCCACGGCCTTCTGTGTCTCCTGAAGTAGATGAGGACCCTCTGAGCTGCAGGAGTAGATGTCAAGGAAAAATTCCCCAGATGCCAGGTGTGGTGCTGCATACCTGTAAGGGAGGTGGACGAAGGAAGATCAAGGGTTCAAAGCCACCCTGAGCAACATAGCAGGACCCTGTCTCAAAAAGAAAAGAAAATTCCCCAGACTCCTAGTGAGTGTGTACTGCCCACAGCACAAGGGACTGAGGCACGAAAGCAGGTCACAGATGGAGGAAGTAGCTCTGGAGCTGAGGTTTGAACCAAGAGGAGGACTTGAGGAAGCCAAGGCTGCTGGGCAAGGTGAGGGGACGTGTGTGTTTTTCCTCTATCAGCTCCATAGTGGGTACTTGTAACTCCATGGAGTCCAGGAGTTTTTCACAGGTCTGGCACAAGTTGAGCGTGTTAAGTAACAAACACCCTTTGCATTTATTCATTTACTTTATTTTGAAGTGAGGGTCTCACTGTGTTGCTGCAGGCTGGCCCCAAACTCCTAGGCACCAGCAATTCCCTTCCTTCCACTCATCCTTCCAAACAGCTCAGGCTACAGGTGTGCACTATTGTACTACCAACTGGGTTTATTTTATTTAACATACCTTTCTATAGCACTTAACTATATGCCTGGCACAGTCCAAAGTCAGCCCCCTTCATCCTCAGAACAAAACCAAAAGGTTAGCGCTACTATTTCTCCCACTTTACAGAATGGAAAACTGAGCCACAGAGAAATTCAGTAACTTGACCAGTGTCATTCAGTTGGTGAGTAACAGAACTGGAATCCAAACCTAGGCTGTCTGGTTCCAGAGGGGCTTCTGGTGCATGGATGGTTGCCAGATAAAGAACCCAGCCCCAGGCTGAGGGTGGGGCCCTGGGTTCCATCCCCAGTATCAAAAAAAAAAAAAAAAAAAAACCAGAACGCAGGTCCAGAGAGAGGAAAAAAAGAGGGGGAGCCAGGCAGTGCTCCAACTTCAGTCTCAGGCAGAAGCAGCAAGAAAAGGTGGAAAAGGACGAGGACTCTTCAGCAGCCGGGAGGAGGCTTGTGAATTCCAGGCCAACTGGGCTACATGGTGAAACTAGAGCAGGGATCAGGGTGACCCATGTTGCCAAAGCCAAGAGGACACAAAGGTTGAGTGGGCAGAGCTTGGTATGGAGGCCAGAGACTCCCAGGTCCCACTCCCAGCTCTTCGGCTTCCCAGCTGTATGACTGGGGCCTGCATGCCTGCTCCCTGAGCCTCGGTTTCCTCATCTGTAATATGGGCTAGTAAGCGCTGCCTCATTAGGCCATCGTCAGCAGTCTCAACTGGGGGTTCCTGCACTGAACCCAACTACCAGATGGGCTTCTTTTGCCTCAACTGGGTTTCGAAATATTTTGGGTTAATCGATGTGAACAAAAATTTGAGAAATTGTGCATTTATGTGCACCGATAAGTCCCAGCTATTTGGGAGGCTGAGATCAGGAGGATCGCAGTTTGAGGCAGTCCAGGTAAATAGTTCGCAAGATTCCCATCTTCAAAATAACCAGAGCAAAATAGACAGGAGGTGTGGTGCAAGCCAGAGCACATGTTTTGAGAGCGCCTTTGCAAGTGTGAAGCCATAAGTTCAAACCCCAGTCTCACCAAAAATAAACAAACTAACAAAAAAGTCAATAACCAAAGCTCGGCATGATGATGCACTCGAGAGGCTGAAGCAGAAGAACATTGGAGCTAGCCTGGGCTACATAGTTAGACTGTCTTAAAAAAACAAAAAAACTCAGAATGCCTAGTTTCTCTGGAAAAATGACAAAATGGAGCTACCCCTGCCCCATTACCCAACTGTCTACAAATAACCTGGAGCTAAGGGGCCTCCCTTATCTCCTCACTGTTGGATGTGGCTTCTTTGGGGTTCCATGGTTACTACCTGGCTGCTTTGCTCCTCTGTGCCACCTACTGGCCCTGCAGGGGGCTGAATTTGAGACCTGGGCCCCCTGGCCAGGGGTTGGGAGTGGGCAACAAGGGAAATGAAAGTATTGGCAACCAGGAGAGGCCTTCAAGGAAAGCCAGGCAGAAGTTCTCTCTGGATGAGCCAAACATTAGTCTGAAACTCCATTGGGACTAACTCTTCTCATTTCAAGAATGAAAATTGATCAGCGGACAGAGCCTCCATCTGCAGCCACTCATTCAGCGGGTGAGATTTTTAAAGACTACAACAGGCTGCTTTTTAGCAATGTTGAATAGTAATATAACATCGATCCAGGACTTTGAACAAAACCCCGTCCCTTGCCAGAAGAGAGTTTGTCTCATCTATCAGGTCACCAGACAGAGTTGTTGCAATGCCACGGAGGTACAGTGCACGCTGGGCCATCTGGCCAGCTCAGGCAGGCCTCTTGGCACCTACCCTGCAAAGGACAGGGGGTCAGGAATGGTCTGGACAGCCTGTACAACTCTCAGAACTTCATTCCCAGAAGTAGCCCCAAAGAGACAGAGGGTCAATGACAGACCTGCTAGGTGGTGAGTGGCTGGTCTGCTTCTTGTCCAGGTAACTTTTTCCTGGGCACATCTCAGTGTGTACACATTTCTGAGCGAGTACCTAGAGCCTTGTCAGAGCATCCGAACCTTCAGGTGTCTGCTTACTGTCTACACTCCATCGTGCCTGCTTACAAATTCCAGCTTCATGCCTCATGGGTTTTGTGACATAGAGTGAATAAAATGACCCTTCTGTGCCTGGATGTCCCTGTTAATACTGCCAGACTGTACACATTGTGCCCTGCCCTGGATTGTCCTGAAGAGCAAGTGAAGAGGACTCATGAGTCTCTGGCATATCACCCACCACTTGGTACACTGATGCTCTCACCAGGCCCCCCACACCTGTGGGGTTTTCCACAGGTGTGGGGGCCTGGCAGCTTTCCACTGCCCAGGCTCATTTTCCTGCTAAAGCACATCACTCCCTGCCCTCTGCAGTCTGAGAGGCAGCCAAACTTGGAGCCCCAAACTGAAAGCACCCAGGAGAATGTATCCCCAGCAGTGCCTGCTGGGGCTTGGAGTGCAGAGGAGCTCGGGAAACCGAGGCCGGATGTGGTCTGTGGGGGGCAAGTCCCTGAGGCTGGCTTCCTCCTCTTTCTCAGTGGGAACAGCAAAACTGCCTCAGAGCCAAGCAGGGAAGGTGTCAGTGTGGAGACAGCCCTGCTGGGGCCAAGGGGACACACAAGTGCATTTAGTTCCTCAACTACCACAGGCCAGGCAGCCACCTTCAGCTTCCTCTCCCACCCTCCAACCCATCTGCACTCCCTGCTGGGAACATAGAATGCACAAGGAAAACAGACTAGCAGTTTCAGGTAAGGTTAGACATTTCTCTAAGGCTAAACACTGCACCTGTGAGCCAGCAATCTCACGCCCAGGTATCAACCGAAAAGAAGTGAAATCATTCATCCACACAAAGGTAAGAATGTGAATGGGGTCACAATGACCCCAAAGGGAAAGAGCCCTGGTTGTGTCAACAGGAAAATAGAAACAGAAGGAAGGACTAACACTTGCAAGCAAAAGGATTCCTGAGAGGC